TTAAATTCAACAGTTTAGACCTGGCTGGTGTGGCTCAGTGGATTGAGGGCCAGCCTAACAAACCAAAGGGTCACCGGTGTGATTCCCAGTCAGGGCACAGTCCTGGGTTGCAGGCCTCGCCCCCAGTGCTGGGCGCAGGAGAGGCAACCACATACTGATGTTTCTCTCCCTCTCTTTCTCCCTCCCTTCCCCTCTCTCTAAAAATAAAATAATAAAATCTTAAAAAAAACAGGCTGATCCATTTTTCAAACAGACTACACCTCTTTAAATGGTCCTCCTCATATCTGTTGCATAGATTACCTAAAGCATTCTTATTTTTTAAGCAGTTGGTGTCTTACTACAAAGAAAGGTGCAACAAATCCAGGTTCAAACACAAGACCATCATAGCTAGTAACTGCGACTTGTTTTCCACTGAAAATGTCAAATTCTTCCCTGGACCCTCCTCCTAATGGCTCCTACAAACCACAGAGGCTGTGAACCTCCGAATGCTCAGTCCCAACACTCCGCTGTTGGAAGCCGCGAAAGGCACAGAAACTGAAAGCGGAGGAAATGGTGGGATCACACTAAGTCCTTTTTAGGGGACTTAGCTTGATCCCACCGTAGCTTAGCTTAGGGGCATGAGCTTGCTCCCCTTTGTGCCAGGACAGAAAGGGAAAAGTCTAGTTGCCATCTGTCACCATACGACTGACCCGCCTTATTCCCCCAAACTCCACCAGCTCTCTCCCTCTGGTAACCACCAGTCACGTTGCTTTCCATGGTGGCGGTGCTAATTTCCATCCCTACCAACAGTGCATGCACAAGGGCTCCCTTTTCTCCGCATCCTACTCCGTGCTTGTTTTTCTTGTCTTTTTGATGACATTTTAGTAAATGTGAGGTGATATCTCAATGTAGTTTTAATGGCCTCTCCCTAATAATTAGTGGTGTTGAGGATTTTTTCATGCGACAATTGGCCATATGTATATCATTTTTAGGAAAAGGTTTATTCAGATCCCCTGCCCATGTTTAAATCAGGTTGTTTTGTTTTATTTGGTTCCTGAGTTGTGTGAGTTCTGTAAATATTTTGTATATTAACTCGTATTAGATTTGCAAATATCTTTTCCCATTCAGGAGGTTTCCTTTTCTTTTTGCTGATAGTTTCCTTTGCTGGGCAGAAGCTTTTTAGTTTGATGTGGTCCCACTTGTTTATTTTTGCTTCTGTTTCCCTTGCGGTTAGAGTCACATCCACAAAAACAACACTAAGTCTGATGTCAGGCAGCTTGCTGCCTATGCTTTCTTCCATGTGTCTTACGATTTCAGGTCTTATGTTCAAGTCTTTAATCCATTTTGAGTTAATTTTGTGTATGATGTAAAATAGAGGTCTATTTCGTTCTTTCGCATGGGGCTGTCCAGATTCCCCAGCACCATTTACTGAAGAGACTGGCCTTTCTCCACGGTTTGTTCTTGGCTCCTTCCTTGTAAATGTGTTGCAGTGAGAGAGGCCGTTTGCTACCAGGAGCTCAGCCCAAGGGCAGGTTCCAGTCTGGCACACAACTAGGGGCCACTGGAGGTGCTTTCAGGGAACATGAGCTGGTGGGGACCATCTTTGTGCTCTCCCTCTGCCTTTCTCCAGCTCACCATTATCTTCCAGAAAGGACTTACACCCTCCTCTGGTGCCTTACTTTTGCAGCGGCTGCCGGGGAACAGCACTACTTTGCCTGGCTCTGGTGGCCCAAGAGGCTTACACCTGTGGGTCTCATAGCACCTTAACCAACAGAGAAAAAGTTCTTAAACTGCTACCACCCTCAAGGCACAAGAGGCAACAGATCCAGGAGCTCTTTCTGTGAAAGTACCCAATGAGTTTATCATCATAACCATCCAAGAGACAGACTTCTAATTAGACACATCTATGGGCTGACTATCCTTTCCAGAGACCTCACAGGTAGGCACTATCTTTCCACTGTCCCCTGACCCTGCTCAGAATGCCAGGATTGCCCTGAGGGGAGATTTTACACCCTGATTTTTGTGGCTGTCATCCAGGGGATTCCCCTCGGTTGCCCCGTTCTGATGGCCAGAGGAGCTTGTGTTTTTGGGTCTTGTGGGACTGTAGGGATTGTAACAATTGGAGAATTTTTTTTTTAATCTTCATCTGAGGACATGCATATAGGGGAGAGAAAGGGAGAGAGGGAGAGAAACATTTCTGCTAGAAAAATAGCAATCAGTTGCCTCCTGCACATGCCTCAACTGAGAACAGAACCCGCTACCCAGGCATGTGCCCTAACCGGGAATCAAACCTGTGACCTTTTAGTTTAAAGGACAATCCTCCAACCAACAGATCCACACCAGTCAGGGCACAGAGAGAGAAAGTCCTTGACAGGCTACCACCCCCAGGGCACTGAGCAGATAGCAGAGTGGAACACACTCTGTTTTTCTGTGCACAAGGCCTGTTTGCTTGTCTCAGAGCTTCAGCCTGAGGGGCAGGCTCTGGTTTGTCGCACAACACGGGTGAGCAGAAGTGCTGTCAGGGAACACAGGTGGGCGGACACCAGCCTTGCACTTTCCCTCTGCCTTACACACCTCACTGATATCTCCCAGAATGGAGCTTATACGCTAGTCTGGAGTCTCAACTTTTGTGACTGCTGCACAGGGCACACTTCAGATCACCTGGCTTACACTTGCAGTCTCACAGGGACGTACATACTCGCACACTTGAAAAGCTGCTGCCTGAAGGTGTGGCTTCCAATCGGCCTGAATCTAGGGCTGAGATGCTCCCCTTAGGCATGCTGATAAGTCCTGTCATACCCTCTGATACTTGGAGACATGAAAAATAATAGCCTGCTTGGACAATTACAAAAGTTTGAAAGACACCTAAGACTAGGGCAGAGTTGAACAGTTAGGTTCATCTCCTATACAAGGCCACTCACAAGAGGTGGCTGTTTTATCCAGTGCATAGAGACAGACCATCACAGAGAGTCAAGCAAAAAAAAAAAAAAATGAAGAAACAAAGGAATATGTTCCAAATGAAAGAGCAAGATAAAAACCTCAGGAAAAAACCTTAATGAGACAAAGATAAGTAATTTACCTGATAAAAAGTTCAAAGTGATGGTGAAAAAGATGGCCACTGAACTTGGGAAAAAACAGATGAACACAGTAAAAAATAGTTTAACAAAGAGATAGAAAACATAGGATAGTACCAAAGAGAAATCACAGTGCTGAAGAATGTCATAAATGAAGTAAAAAAGTACACTAGAAGTCTTCAACAGGCTAGATGAAACAAAAGAAAGGATTAGTGAACTCAAGAATGGCAATGGAGCTCCTCCCATCAGAGTAGCAAAATGAAAAAAGAATTTAAAAAGAATGACAATAGCTTAAGGGACTTATAGAACAACATCAAGTGGACTAACATTTGCATTGCAAGGGTTTCAGAAGTGAGAGAGAGAAAGAGGCAGAAAACTTATTTGAAGAAATAATGGCTGAAAACTCCCCTCCCCCTTTTCTTGAGAAAGAAAACAGATATCTAGATACAGAAGGCCCAAAAAGCTCCAAAAAAGATGAACCCAAGAGATACATGGGTTAAAAATCAAAAATTAAAGACAAGGAGAGGATCTTAAAATCAGCAAGAAAAAACCAATTTGTTACTATTAGGTAACCCCACTTCTCACCCCTAAGATTTTTGAGCAGAAACTTTTCAGTCTACAAGGGAGTAACACAATATATTCTATACATACTGGTGGACCTAGCCAGAGCAGTAAGATAAGAAAAAGAAATAAGAGATGTAATAATTGGAAAGAAAAACTGACATTTGCCCAGAAAATTGAAAATGTAAAAAATGGACAGTTTTAAGTATAATTTTGAAAACTGTGTTAAGGTAAATCCAAGCTTTGATATGATAATATAGAAGAATGTCTTCATGAACTTTGCAGAGGACAGCCTGTGCCACATGCCTGCGTCATTTAATCTAATTCCCACAACAAACCTGTAAGGCGATATATAAGAAACAGGTCAAAGAGTCCCAGATCATGTAACTGGTAAGTGGCAGAGTCACATTTTAGTGATCTCACTCACTAAACTGAGATCTACTTTTTTAACAAAGTGTACGTGCTCTTACTCTCTTTCTTTCCCTTTATGTATATGTGCTTTATATGTATATATACATACACACTGTGCACATATATGTGCTCTTAATATATGTATATGTGTATATATTATGGTCTCAGTGTGTACATATATCATATATATGTATATGTATATACACATCCACTCTTAATATATCATATATAAATCCAAATAATTCTTGACAAATGTAGGTAGGTAGGTAGGTAAATATTCCTTCTCTCTACATACCACAGCACATCCCTTAATATATTGCCACATGATATTTCATCTATAACACAGGACTTAAAAATAATTGTACCTACTCCATAGAATTGTTAAAAGAATTAAAAGTGAAAACACAAGTTAAGTACTTAACACAGTGCCAGGCTGAATACATGATAGCTATTGCTATTATTAATTACTATCTATATAGTAAATGATTTGGTATGAAGTATACCCTATGCTTTCTTTCCTTCTAGGAATCCTCAATGATGAGAGTTGGCATAGAGTCAAAGGGAACTCTGGGGGTTTTATACATACATACATACATAGGACTGGGTGTATACAGGCAATGCCTCTGTGACTATGACATACATAGTGTTTGAGGCTTTGGCTATAGAGTGGCTCATGATAATTCAACATACAGCTATTGGAACCAACGTCTGCTGCTTCAATTCCTAGATCTGAAAATGTTCCTAGATCTTAAGTAACCCTTGAGTGGAGGAAAGTGTGAAGGCTATGATCAGGACCTTTTTTTTTCAGTGCTCTACTGTTCAAGGTCAAAGCAGGGAGTTTCCAGTCTCTATATTTTGTTTTACAAAGGAATCTATAGGAGAATCCACAGAAAGAAGGAATAGGAATTTAAGCAGGTAATTCTACAGTTTTCTTTAAATTTGTGTTATATTAAATAGTTGTAGCATTTTACTCACCACCACTGCACAGAGGTTATACTTAGGGTGTTTCCGAAAAATTGGACAGATGTAAGGAGTCAGGTCCAAGTTAGTGAGTGGGTAATGAATATCTGTTCTCAGTTTCTTTTTCATTTTACCCAGAATGTCAAACCTAGAGAGAAAACACATGTGTGAAATAAAAGTAAGCTTGTGAACAACCCACGAATGAAGTCCACATACCTTGACAAATTCTAAGTATAGTTTAAAGTAATTTCTTGGAAAGATTATTTGGTGCAGACCTGTACACAAATTTTTTTCTTATCTACCTATGTTCAGAATCTCCACATCCACAGGCCTCGCCAAAACTGAGACTGGAGAGACCCAAGAGCTTGAGTCAGGGTGTGAGCAGTGTAGAGTCAATCCAGTGGGAGAGAAAGAAGGGGGAAAGCCAGGCAGGGCATCAGGGGAGTAGAAATCACACTGGTAACTTCCTGGATACTTCACTCCAGCTGATGCTGTTCACTCTCACCAAGCTGGCTCAGCTTTCCTTTTCTTGGTTGTAGCACACATTGTCTTGGCAGTGTCCTGTTTTCCAGCTCTGAGGTTTTAATATATCTTTAACAAGGTAAAATTTTGTGAAACCCTGGTCACATTCTTTATTGCTATTTAGATCACCAGTTCCCAAAGCTGAGCCTGTACCAAAATCACCCTGCAACCTCTTTAAAAATAAGTTATGTTCATTTTGGAAAAATAGCTGATTTAGGCCTTGGGCAGGAAAATTCCTGGGTGAATTTGAGATATTTTTGTGTCAGAAAGCAAGAAACCTTGTTTTCTGCTGTGTGACCCAGCAATCCTATGCCTAGGTATCATATGAAAAGAAATGAAAACATACATCCACATAAAAACCTACATGCTATGGTTCCAAAGGGGACCACACCAAGACACATCATAATTAAAATGCCAAAGGTTAAAGATAAAGAGAGAATCTTAAAAGCAGCAAAAGAAAAGCAAATAATTACCTACAAAGTAATTCCATAGATTGTCAGTTGATGTGCCAAGACAAAAAAAATATGGCCCAATCAGAGAACAGATCAAAGCTCCAAAAATAGAACTAAGTGATGAAGAAACAGCCAACTTATCAGGTGCAGAGTTCAAAACACTAGTAATCAGGATGCTTACAGAAATGGTTGAGTATGGTCACAAAATATAGGAAAAAGTGAAGGCTATGAAAAGTGAAATAAAGGAAAATCTATGGGGAACCAACAGTGATGGGAAGGAAACCAGGACTCAAATCAAGGGTTTGGAGCTGAAGGAAGAAATAAACTTTCAACCAGAACAGAATGAAGAAACAAGAATTCAAAAAAATCAGGAGAGCTTTAGAAACTTCTGGGACAACTTTAAATGTTCCAACATCGAATCATAGGGTTGATGAAGGGCAAGACATGGAAAACTTATCTGAAAAAATAATGAGGAGAACTTCCCCAATCTAGCAAAGGAAAGGGAGTCCAGGATGCTCAGAGAGTCTCAAAGAAGTTGGACCCAAGGAGGAATACACCAAGACACATCATAATTACATTGATCAAGATTAAAGAGGAGAGAATCTTAAAAGCAGCAAGAGACAAGGAGACAGTTACCTACAAAGGAGTTCCCATTAGACTGTCAGCTGATTTCTCAAAAGAAACTTTGCAGGTACGAAGGGGCTGGAAAGAAGTATTTGAAGTCATGAAAGGCAAGGACCTCCATGTAAGATTACTCTATCCAGAAAAACTATCATTTAGAGTGGAAGGGCGGACAAGGTGTTTCCCAGATAAGGTCAAGTTAAAGGAGTTCATTATCACCAAGCCCTTATTATATGAAATGTTAAAGGGACTTATCTAAGAAAAAGAAGATCAAAGATATGAACATTAAAATGACAATAGACTCACAACTATTAACAACCTAACCTAAAACAAAAAGAAAAACAAAAACAAACTAAGCAAACAAGTAGAACAGGAACAGAATCACAGAAATGGAGATCACATGGAGGGTTATCAGTGGGGAGGGGGTGGGGGGAGAATGGGGGAAAAGGTACAGGGAGTAAGTGTAATTGGTAGGTATGAAATAGACAGGGGGAGGTTAAGAATAGTATGGGAAATGAAGAAGCCAAAGAACTTACATGTACAACCCATGGACATGAACTAAAGGTGGGAGATGCAGGTGGGATGGGAGGAGGGATTGCAGGGCAGAGGGGAATAAAGAGGAGAAAATGGAACAACTGTAATAGCATAATCGATAAAACATATTTTTAAAAGACTCTCAGTTGATTTCTCAAAAGAAACTTTGCAGGCTAGAAGGGACTGGCAAGAAGTATTCAAAGTGAGGAAAAGCAAGGACCTACAACCTAGATTACTCTACCCAGCAAAGCTATCATTTAGAAAGGAAAAGCAGATAAAGTGCTTCCCAGACAAGTAAAACTGAAGGAGATCACCATCACCAACACATTATTATATGAAGTGGTAAAGGGAATTATGTAAGAAAAAAAAGATTAAAAAGATGAACATTAAAATGGCAATATATTCATAACTATCAATAATTGACTCCAACTAACAAACTAAGCAAACAAGCAGAACAGGAACAGAATCAAAGATATGGAGATCATTTAGAGGGTTATCAGTGGGGAGAGGGAAAATGGGGTAAAAGTACAGGGATTAAGAAGCATAATTGGTAGGTACAAAATAGACAGGGAGGTGTTAAGAACAGTATAGGTAATGGAGAAGCCAAAGAATTTATATGCATGACCCACGGACGTGAACTAAGGAGGGACTGCTAGAGAGAATGGGGGGTTACTAGGTGGAGGAGGGCAAAGGGAAAAAATTGGGACAACTGTAATAGTATAATCAATAAAATATAGTTCAAAATCTATTTGCTAATGTTTATACAACAGTATTCACATCTGCCTCAAACTGGAAACAACTCAAATATTCATCAGCTGGTGAGTGGAAAAATAATGCGGTATATTCATAAGAGTGAATACTTCTCAGCAATAAAGAGGAAGGAACCCCTGCAACATGTCGCAACATGGATTAATCTCATAAATTTTATACTAAGTGAAAGAAGCCAAAATCAAAAGGCTACATATGATATAATACAGGACGTTCTGGCCAAGGAACAACTCTAAGGATGGAAGTCAGATAGGAAGTTTCCAGGGGCTGGATGAGGGAGAAGATATTGATTACCAAGGAGCAAGAGCAAACTTTCTGGTGTGATGGAAATAGTCTATACATTGGCTCTGATGGTTACATGTCTGTGTGCATTTTAAAAAATTCATGGATCTGTACCTCTGAAGAGGATGACTTTTGTACATGTAATTACACTAAACTAACTAACTAATGAGGTAACAGGAGCAGGCTCAAAGCAGCTCTCACGGGCCAACTTCAAACAATTTGAACATCAAGAACAGTGGTAGTCATGGATAATACACATGTTAGGGTTAAGCATCCACAGGGCCAGAGTGGCAGCAGCCACAGAGGGGAAACAATACCTTCAAATGGCGAGCCCCTGCAGCCACTACCTCACCTGCGGGGTCGCACATAACAGCACCCAGAGTGGGATGAACTTCCATGATGCGCCTCCTGATGCAATGTGATGACAAGTACACAGTGTCGCCTACACAGGATTCTTGCTAACATTTTTTTTTTTAAAGTTTAGCCCTGATCTAATCATGGGGAAATAATTAAATAAATCCAAAATGGGGACAAATCTAAACAATGAGCTCCTCAAAGGCACAATATGAGAACAAAGAGTTAAACATGTAAAAAGAGGGAAAGGCTGTTCTAGATTTAAAGAGACAGCCCCATGCATGTATGACATTTGACTGGGTCCCAGATTAGAAAAAAAGTTATGAAGACATTTTGGGGGTGGGGAATTTACATATGGAATGTATCTTAGGGGCTATAAAGTTATGGTCAAATTTGTGGGGCGTTATAATGATGGTGCGATTGCGCAGGAGAATATCCTTACGTTCAGGTGATACATGGCGAAGTATTTAAGCAGAACTGCCATGGTGTTTGCATCTTTTTTCTGATGGTTCAGCTGAAAAAATGGAAGGGAGGGAAGGAAGGAGGAGAGGAGAAAGAAAATGTGGCAAAGTGTCACCAGCTAATGAAGATTTTGGGGCATGTGGGTATTCATCAAAGAAGTTTTCAGCTTTTTGGTAGATTTGAAAGTTTTAAAAATAAAAATTGGTGTGGGGAGCTAAAAATTAAAATAGCAATGCTTAGATTCTGCCTCAGACCTATGGAATCAGAATCCACAACAGTGGGAATTTAATTTTTAAAAGCACTCAGAGTGAGCACCAAACATCTACTAGCAGCTGAATAAACACAATATGATATACACACAGTGGAATATTATTCAGCCATAAAAAGGAGTGAGCTTCTGGTACGCATGGATGAAACCTGAAAACATTAGCTAAGTGAAGTGGTCCAGCAAAAAGGGTGATGTTGTATGAGTCCACTTGCATGAAGTACCTAAAATAGGCAAATTTATAGGCACAGAAAGTAGATTAGAGGTTACCTGGGACTAGGGGGATGAGAAATGGGGAAGTTTTGCTTAATGGGTACAGAGTTTCTGTTTGGAGTGGTGAAAAGATTCTGGAAAGAGTGGTGACTGACTGTTGTACAGCACTGTGAATGTAATTAATACAATGAAGTACACACTAAACGTGGCTAAAATGGCAAATTTTATGTTCTGTTTTATCACAAATTTTAAAAAGTTCATGTCACGTATTGGATACCCCTAAATTGTTCACTGTAAGTGAACAATTGCATGGATTTGAATTATATCTTGATAAAGCTGTTCAAAAATCTGCCCACGAAATGTCAAAATCCATACCTTTTTAAGTGAAAAATCATTATTTTTGGCGCTTTGGAAATGCTGGCCCTCAACACTGTTTCTTGCTTCGTTTCACAAAAGGAACAATGAATTTGATTGTTCAAGGTCAGAGTGTCTTGTTGGAAAAAGCATTGGAGACAGTCCTGTTGAGATAAAAAGCTTTCGGTGACCAAACGGATGGATCAAACTGCAGCCTGGACTCCACGTCAGAACTTCGGAAGAGCTCTGTAAAGGGAGTCCTTGCTGCGTCGCTCGGCTTTGACAGTCTGGGAGACACCAGCGTCCCAAGCTGCAGCCTGCACACGTGTAAAATCTACCTGGCAAAGGAGGTGCTTCCTCCTCACTTCCGTTACCGAAATGGATCCACGTGCCCACCACACTCGTAATGTCCTGATCAGCATTGTAACATTTCTGGTTTACTTCAGAATGATACTAACTGGGAGTTTCCCTCTAGCAAGTGAGTCAGCTGTGTTACATTGTCCATTTCATCACAGCAGTGATCTGGGGACTGAACAACGACCACACTGCAGAGTTCTGAGGCGGCCCATGATAAAGCGAGACAACAGGACAGAATGAGATCCTGTGCCCACAGGGGACAGCAGACACCCTCCATGCAGCCACGCACCCCCAGCTCTGTAAACTGTTAACCTAGAGAAGAGGAGGCACACAGACTCTGTTTTCAGTAGACACGCCAGCACCTCACTTAGAGTCTTCGGAATTCGTTTCCAGCCATTGTTAGCAATTTGATCTGAGAACAAGTCCAGTTCTGAGTAAGAAGTGGGATTCTAGTCTCCAGTTGTGGTAAATGTGTTCTATTCTACAAAGAAACGTGTTGCTTCCTGCCTCCTAACTGTTTCCTGCCTTCTGCCACCACCCCCTCTGTCTACAGATTGACTTTTGATATTACGGTGAAGAAAATTTAAGAGGTAAACTGAGGCACTAGATTCCATTCTATTTTCCCAACACAATTCACAGCTTTTATCTAAAATGTAAGAGCTCAAGCCCTGGCTGGTGTGGCTCACTGAACTGAGTGCCAGCCTGCAGACCAAAGAAAGGGTCACTGGTTCAATTTTCAGTCTAGGGCACAGGCCTGGGATGCAGGCCAGGTCCCCAGTAGGGGGCACATGAGAGGCAACCACACATTGGTGTTTCTCTCCCTCTCTTTGTCCCTCCTTTCCCCTCTCTAAAAATAAATAAATTTTTTAAAAAGCTTTTAAAAAGAGCTCAAGACAGAGTCAGAATCTTATATCTAGTTCCCCAAATGGACCTACAGACCTCTTAGGTAAGGAAGGACCATAACATTTTTGCAAGAAAGTACAAATTCCCTGTATGCACCTAGCCATGACAATGGATCAAATAAACCCCGTTTATCTTCTCCATTTCACAATAAGGCTGTTTCCTTGAGTACATAGATACACAACTGAATTCACAGTAACTCTCAGCTGAGTGTCACTTTTCCATAACATCATCACAGCATCCAATGTTCTAAAAAGTTATAAAGCAGCCCCTTCCATACTAGAAAATACAGGAAACTGCTCTAGGAAAGTCCAGGGCCAGGATAAAGCCAGACAAGAAGGCATCCCGGGACAGGAGTCCCTACCTGAAGAGAGCACTTGTACTCCGATGGGATGGGGAGGGAGAGGACTGTGAAGGCTTCATTCTTGTAGGTGCAGTTCTCACACTTTAAACACATGACGCTGTAGCTGAGCTGCCCTTCAAAGAGCCGGGTGACGATGGAGGACTCACTGGCGATTGCCTTCCGACAGCATCTTGGAACAGACCTTTTCTCACAGGATCGTATTCGGTGGCACTAAGTTGAGGAACAAATTGGCCCCAAATCAGCTACTGGTTATCAACAAATTATTTCCCAGAAGGACTTGATTTTTTCTATCAGAACAATGCACTGCTGCCAGAAACCATGTTGTGGATTCAGACGATAAACACAATAAGATCTTCGTAGGAGCGTATGTTACGTATGTTATATGTGACTTCGGATAATTCAGTTATGTCCCTCCTTCAGCGAAGCTGAGGGATGATGATTCCCTAACCTGGTGAAACACACGACCACGACTCCACAAGCTGACAGCCTAGGATGATGTGACACAGGGTCCTGGGGGCAGTTTTTCCTGGAAGAGTCACCAGGGAAGCTGTTAAACCAGCTTTGGTCATGCAAGCTGATCTAGAAGTAAAGTCAAGGAATTTGACCTCCCTGTGGGTCCCTTCAGGTGATGTCCCCTAGCCACTTCTTTTAATAGAAAATGCTTTTTATTTTTATTTAAAAATTTTTAAAAATAAATGAACAGTTTGCATTTAACATCATTTTGTATTAGTTTCAGGTGTACAGCATAGTGGTTAGACAACTGCATACTTCACAAAGTGCTCCCCCGGTATCTTCAGTACCCACCTGGCACTGTGCGTAGTTACTACAATATTATTGACTATGTTCCCTATGCTGTACTTTACATCCCCATGACTATTCTGTAACTACCAATCTGTACTTCTTAATACCTTCACCTTTTTCATCCAGTCCCCTGACCCGTCTCCCCTCTGGCAACCATCAGCCTGTTCTCTGTACCTATGAGTCTGTTTCTATTTTGTTTATTCATTTATATTGTTTCTTAGATTCCACATACAAGTGAAATCATATGGTGTTTGTCTTTCTCTGATTTGCTTAGTTCATTTAGCGTAATACCCTCTAGGGCCTTCTATGCTGTCACAAAGGTAAGACTTCATTCCTTTTTATGGCTGAGTAATATTCCATTGTGCAAATATACCACAATTTTTTATCCACTCATCTACGATGGGCCCTTGGGTTGCCTTCATGACTTATCTATTATAAATAATGCTGCAATGAACATAGGGGTGCATATATTCTTTTGAATTAATGTTTCAGGTTTCTTTGGATATATACCTGGAAGTGGAATTGCTGGGTCATAAGGCAGTTCCATTTTTAATTTTTTGAGGAAAAAATTTTCCACAGTGGCTGCACCAATATGCATTCCCACCAAAAGTGCACTAGAGTTCCCCTTTCCCCACATCCTCGCCAGGACTTGTGGTTTGTTGATTTACTGATGACAGCCATTCTGACAGGTGTGAGGTGATATCTTATTGTGGTTTTATTTGCATCTCTACGTTAATTATTCCAGCATCTTTTCACCTGTCCATTGGCCATCTGTATGTCTTCTCTGGAGAAGTGTCTATTCAGAGAAAACACTTTTTAAAAAGAGCAAATCTTAAATCCTTAAGGCAGCCTGATGTAACGAGCCTCCTGCCTGACGTGAACCTCTTATAGCTTGCAGTCAGGAACAGCATGGCCGGGAGCACGCCCTGACTTTTCAGTGACTTGATGCATTTGGAAGACACATCAGCTCCCGTCAGCTCTACGTTGGAGCTGTGCACCCTGCTCCATCTTCCCTCCTCCTTCATCACACCCTGCTGCTTAGGCCTCCTCCCCTGACAGTAGTTTAATGACTGCAATTCCAACTTTGGCCTCGGGAACGGGGATGTTATTTATTTCAGATGAGTTGACAGAGAGGACCCATGTGATTTCATTGACCACCACCTCACCTCTGGCTAAAAATGTGTTGCCACGAATATCCTGTTAGAAGTAAAAATAAACATGAAACTGAGGACTGCAGTTGAGAATGTAATGGCTGGTGTGTGATCTCTTAGGCTGAGTATTTCCTGGATGTCAGCGATGAGGTAAGCTAACATCACAAGGACACTGCTGGAAGTCAGGGACGTGTCTTTAGAGAGTGTGGGTCTCCCGCCAAGGCTGATGGCAGTGGTCTAGTAAATAAAGGCAAAAACCCTAGTAACCAGTGATTTAATGTTTTATTAAATGTATGTCCTGATTGAATGAGGAACTCGGGTTGGGCACGTTTGGTATGAAGATGGAACTTTGCAGTATACAGATGTGTCCTGTAATCTGATACTGAACTTAATAGTTTCTTGGGTTTGTAGTTACCAAGAACATTTATTTTAAGTTACTAAGAACAGTCATTTTAAGTTTAACATTATATTTAGAATTCTATATGTTATATTTCATGAGAGAGAGATATATATTTTAATATAATTTTCACTTTTTTTTTAATCTTCACCCAAGGACGTGCTCATCAATTTAGAGAGGGGAAGGGAAGAAGAGAGGGGGAGAGAGAGAGAGAAAGAAACATCCCTGTGAGAAAGAAACATTGATCGGTTACCTCGATGGTTGCCACTTGTACACACCCTGACTAGGGATCAAACCCACAGCCTAGGCATGTGCCTTGAGCAGGAATTGAACCTGCAACCTTTTCATTTATGGGATGATGCTCCAACTAACTGAGCCCCCCTGGCCAAGGCTGCAATTTTCACTTTTAAAAAACAGTCCATGCAGATGCAATTTACCAAGGGAACTAGATCAGCGGTTCCCACACCTTCTGATCACTGGAAGTTTGTGCCAAGCAAGCTTCCCAGAAGATAGCCGCAGACGTTCGAACTCCGTAACACTCGAGTGAGGGCCTTAGAATGTGTCTTTAAAATCTCCCTCGGTGATTCTGATGAGCAGCTGGGTTTGGTAAAGACAGACCTATTCAAATCCTAACTTGAATGTTCCCCCAGCACCTGTGCTTGGCACACAGTAGGCAATATTGACTGAACACATGAAGGAATGGAAAATAAAAGTTGCTGATAGAGCTGAATGTCTCTCCTATTTCAAGGCCATTCATTCTGCTTACCTTTTTCAGAGATTCATGAAGTTCATTCAGGACATAAATCAAGAATTCCTGAGCATCTTGTTGTGTCTTTTTCATAAATGCTGGGTAGAGGTTGCCAAGAGCTGAGAGAAATATTTCTGGTGAGACACAGTCTGTGTCTCCAAGCCACATGTCAGTCATGACGTAGGCGAAGGCAGTGGCAACCTTACTGCAGTCCCTTGGAAGAAAGAAGGCAGATGTTTCTGGCTGATTTAATGAAAGAAGGCACCTAAACACTCACACATGTGGCCATCAGACCACAGTCAGAGCTTCATTCACTTCTTGGCTGACCTTCCCAATTTATTCACCCAGGAAATGGTATCTGGGGTGCTGCAGCCTCTACTGACATGTTTAGCCCTTAATAGGGATTCCAGAAGGTTCCTTCCCTAACCTCACCTTGGGGGAGCAGCGGGAAAGGGCTGGACTGTAGGGAACACAACAGTCTTACTTTTGAAGAGCAGTAATGTACTTTCCAGAGAGAAAGTATTCCACCAGCGGTGAGATGCTGCAGAGACACTGTAGGATGGCGTTCATGTAGCACGTGTTGCCCAAGTTCCGCAGGCCGGTCACGCCCTGGAGGTGGGGCTGGTCCTCGTCAGCCTTGCTGACTGGCACGGTGTCATAGTGATCTGTGCACTCTGAACTGTGGTGCCACGGGGAAAGAAAGGAAAGCATTTTGAGGGAACAGAGTATGTACAGATATGACAGCAAGTCTCTCTCAACCTCATGACACAAAGAAGAGTTCCTAATGAGGTTTCTGCCAGACGAAACTAGTTCCCTAATGAGGACTGAAGTACTCAAACCTGGAGTCTAAAATTGCATTACTTAGTCCAGAACTCTTTGGACAGTGCTTGCAGCCAAACGAGCTGAGATTAAGTTTCTTCCTAAAACCAAACCAAGAAAATATCAGCTTTTCAGAATCCCAGAATCGCTTGGCTAAAAATGCAAACTTTCCCTCTAAATACCAAAGTATTTCCTTTTTCACAGGACAAGTAATTTAATTATTATTAGTAGTAATAATAAATTGTAGTTAATAATAGAAATAGCTGTCATGAAGTGAGCCTGGCAGTGTGTTAATACCTAGCACGTACTTTTCCATTTAGCTCTTTCAACAATTCTATGGAGTAGGTACAATGATTTTTAAATCCTGTGCTATAGAGGAAATATTATGGTTAAATGGTTTAGTCACTTGCCCATGGCAATGTATTAAGGGGTGTGCAGTGGTATGTAGAAAGAAGGAATATTCATCTACCTACCTACCTACCATCTGTCAAAAGTTATTTGGATTTAAGGGGGAGGTGGGGACTCATCAGAAGGTGAAGGGAGCAGCCAAAGAACATATACCCATAACCCATCAACACGATCAATGGTGGGGGATTGCCTGAGGGAGCATGCGGAGGCTGGGTGGAGGGGGACAGTGGGGGAAATTGGGATAACTCTAATAGCATAAATAATAAAATCTTTTTTTGCAAAAGGGTTATTTGGATTTCTACATCATATATTAAGAGTGTGTGTGTGTGTACACATACATATCTACAACATTGAGAGCATATCATATATATGTACTAAAAGCACATCTATATGTGTGTATTATATATGGGTGCATATACATATAAAACACACATATGCATAGAGAGGGGGAAAGAGAGTAAGAGCATAGACTCTGTAATCAATAGGGCTTAGTTTAAATCCTCGCTCTGCCACTTCCTAGTTACAAGATCTGGGACTTATATGCTGGTTTCTCACCTATAAGGCTACTTGCCGTGTGGGTTTGTTGTGAGCATTAGACCCAACGATGCAGGCCTGTGACAGACTACATTGCTAATGAGCTGTAACCGGAGCTATTTTTAAAGAAGTGACTGACCTAGGATATTTTTAAAGAAGTGAGAAGTCCCTAACAGCAGGGCTATAGAATGGCAGTGTTCGTGCGAATCTGGCAGACCCGCACAGTGGAGGGGACACTGTGGGCTCCCACGGAGCCTCCCCTCTCCACCGTTTTCTCTCATAACTTGGTTCTGTGCCAGGCAGCCCCGCATCTCTGTCCCTTCATGACTTGTCTTCCATCCACGTTATTTAACACTGGGTCTGCGTAAGATGGCGACCTCCCCTCAGCACCTCCACTTACAACTCTGCAAGTTTGAAAGGTGCTCACTCTTCCACGGAGGGTCACTTTCACTTTTATCTACCGATGTCCCTCTTCAGGAATATCTATTGGCTGGACATTAAATAATACCTTTCTTTGCTTTGGGGGGACCTCCAATGGGTCGGGTCTGCGGGAACCCTTCCAAATGTGGCATGCACCCCTGACTGCTTTAGCATGGCTTTCCCAACACATCCTCCCCCAAACTGGGATAATCTACAAAGCTGTAACAGAGAGAGGCTCACAGGACATAGTAGACACCGAAGTCATCTGCGGGGAAAGGCTGCTGTGAAGTCATTTTAGTGAAACCACTTTGGACTTTGCACTTCTATTCAGGAGCAACATCTAATCCTTTCAACTTCATTTCTCCAAGCCTGTTACCTTGACTTTTTTTGCTTGTGATGAACAATTTATATGTTCCTCCCCCCCTCCTCAGGAGCTGAAAACTGCTCTTTATCTGTACTTCAGTGACATTCCAACTTGGATTTCCTTTGCATCATAATTCTTTCCATTCATCTTCAATATTCTAGCATGTTGCCAGGAGATACTGTTACTTGGTGGCTTGAAAACTTTTAGCAGATTCACTTTCAAAGAATGAACTAAATATATAACACTTCTTCCTCCATCACTCAGTTTTTCTTGTGTATATTTATTTTTATTTTTATTTTTTAAAGTATTTATTTATTTATTTTTAGAAAGAGAGAGAGGGAAAGAGAGTGAGAGAAACATCAGTGTGTGGTTGCTTCTCACACACCCCCACTGGGGACCTGGCCCACAACCCAGGCATGTGCCCTGACCAGGAATCGAACTGGCAACCCTTTGGTTCACAGGCCAGCGCTCAATCCACTGAGCCACACCAGCCAGGGCTTCTTATGTATATTTATTAAACACACACACACACACAAGATTTACCACCCCTGAGTCAGTGGACACTGTGGTAACCCTGCCCACTCTGGGCATTCACCCACCCTCCCAGTGACCACCCTACTCATAGTGGGCTACAGGGGCTTTCTCTTCCCAGGGATGAAGGCAGTAGGAATTTGCTGCTTCCAAAACACACTGCATTGGGATGGACTGGATCATCGATCATAGTGCACACACCAAATCCTACTAGTGTTCCACGAAGGGCAAATACAAATAAAGCATTTGTCATAAAAGAATTTATAAGCTGAGAACTAGCAGAGCACACAACAATCTCCTGAGCTCTCATTTTCTTCATAGACAACTATGCTTCAGAAAGATCTTCAGTAGAGAGGGTTCCCCCACCCTCCACGCTCTACCTAGATGAAAAGGGGTCAGAGGACATGTGCAACCATGCAGCACGAGAGCAACCGGGTCGAGGAAGGGGTCTTGTGAGAATGGGGAGCCTCTGGAGCTCCAGAATGGCACCATCCTGTTCTTCCTTTGCTCTGAGCATCTGTAGGGCAATAGTTTTCAACTTTTCATCTCTTGGCACACATAAACTGACCAAAATTCTGCAGCACACACAAGAATATTCCTTTTTCCTCAAAAAATGTAGTTTTTTGGAAAAAAAAGTATAATTTTGATTCACTTGCACCAAACAGCTATTGTTGTATTGGCTGTTGTCATTTTTTATTTGACGGTCTAAGGGAAAGGAGGTCAGTGCCCCAGACAAAATAGTCAAGTATCACATGTTTTAAAAATTCCCACCCTGGCCAGCTTGCTCAGTTGGTTGAAGAACCATCCCATAGGCCAAAGGTTGTGGTTTCAATCCCAGGTCACAGCACATACCTAGGTTGTGGGTCCAGTCCCTGGTCAGGGCATGCACAAGAGTCAACTGATGAATGTTTCTCTCTCACATCAATGTTTCTTTCTTTAAAAAAATATTTATTTTTAGAGAGAGGGAAGGAAAGGAGAAAGAGGTAGAGAAACATCATTGTGAATGGAATCGGTGACCCTTTGCTTTGCTGGTTGATGTGCAACTGAGCCACACTGCTCAGGGCACTGTTCCTTCCTTCCCCTCTGTCTAAAACCAATAAAAATATATCCTCGGGTGCAGATTAAAAAATAATAAAATAAAAAAATATTGCGGCACACTGGTTGAAAATCACTGTTGTAGGGAGTAGGTAAAGAAACAGCCTTTAGAACCAAATTTGTCTTTCCTCAATTCTGCATCAGTTAAAAGAAGGGGATAATAAAAAATTCCAAAAATGTCAATGTCAGGAAAGATAAAGAAGGCTGATAATTATTCCAGGTTAAATAAAACTAGAGAAACAAGGCCAATGCAATACTCAATCCTGGATGGGATCCTGGATTAGGACAAAATTCCTATAAAAGTGTATTGTTGGTACAATTGATGAAGTCTGAACATGGGTTACAGATGAACAGTTTTATACCAACATTGAATCTTATGAATTTTATAAAACTGTACTGTTTATGAAAGACAATGTCCTCATTCTTAGGAGATACACACTGATGGACTTAGGGTCATGATATGTGCAGCCTGCTCTCAAATGACTCAGGACACCCACCGACACTAACACACACGCAGAAAGGAGGGAATGGGGAGTGATCAAGCAGTATGAAGCAAATAGAGCCGAATGTCAGCAACTTGTGGACCTGGGTGAAGGTGCACTGGAGTTCTTTGTAATACTCTGTTTGAAATTATCTCAAACTAAAAAGTTAAAAAAAAAAGAATGTAGATATACTTGTAATATGGATTTGTCTCCAACCATATTACTGGTAAGTCAAATAAGTTGAAGAGTTTTCCTGTAGTAGGCACACCATTTATGTCCACACGGTTTTAAAAACATATATGTATGCTCAGGCTACCCAGTCATTAAGAACAGTCATTCTTTGACATCTGGACAAGGGATCCTGGCAACCAGAGGCACTGACTCTTGCAGCTCCTTGACATTTGGTAGTTGCAGTCTATTTACAGAGGTGTTTCTTGAAATCAGCTCAGTGGAGGTTCTGCAAGTCTTGAATCCTATCACCCTGTTCCTTTTGTCAGTGAAGTTCTCCCAAGTCTTTTAGTTTGACGCTGGTAGGTAAAAATACAATTCATGTATTTATCTTGTGTCTAGAGGCCTTTCTAAACTGCTAATTTTTATATACGTTTTCTTCCTACACACTTGTCATCTACAAAAAAAATCACTTTTTTTCTCGCCAATTCTTGTGACTTTAATTTCTACCCTTTTGAACTAGCACCTCCAGAAAAATACTGAATAGAAGTGGGGATGGTTAGTATCCCCATAACTATCTGGACTAAAAGGAAAAGTTTGCCTAAGTTACCGTTAACTATGCTGTTTGCTAAGGACATAGTTTGTGACTTGTAATCAAGAATGAAGATTGAATGTGATCAGGTTTTTCTCTCCTGAGATAATCATTAAATTTTTTTTTCTTCACTGTTATTATGCTCAGTTGTTGATGATGGCTGTATACAAGGCTTGTCTGGAAAGAGTCCAGACATTAATATAATGAGAATGGTTTGTACAACAATGATGTAACCTGGCAGTCAAGGAGAGTGCGCTAGAATGCACACGTGTGAACAATGATGGCTTCACTGTATTAGACAGTGAGGGTGGTAGACACCATTGAGTGAGCATGTGTGCTGTGGCCATTGCATTAAAAATGACTGAATACAGCAATAAATCTGCCTAATTTTGTGTTAAGCTTGAAATCCCTCCATAGAAACTATTCAGATGATTCAGGAGGCCGAAGCTATGGGTAAACTGGTAATTGGTAGCTTCATCACAACAACACAATTGCTCATGCATCACATCTTCTGTAGAGTTTGTGAAACATCCAATCACCCAGGTGACTCAGTCCCCTACATGCCAGATTTGGTGCCTTGAACCTTCTGGCTTTTCCCAAAACTAAAATCACCTTTGAAAGGGAAGAGATTTCAGACCATTGATGAGATTCAGGAAAGTGACAACAGGGCAGCTAATGGTGACTGGGAGAACTGTGTGAGGTCCCAAGATGACTACTTTGAAGGGGACTGAAGTGTCATTGTCCTATGTACGATGTTTCCTGTGTATCTTCTTCAGTAAATGTCTTTTTCCTTTTACGCAGCTGGATACCTTCTGGACAGACCTTTGTATTAAACCAGTTTTCAGTTCCTCGGAAAAACCCATCTTGTGTATGATGTAGATTTTCAAGAACTGCTGGATTTTATGTTAATCTTTTGTTTCATATGTACGGTCATGAGTCAGATGGCCTATGTATTAGTGTTCTGAACTGTGTAACAAACTACCACACATAGTGGTCTGAAACAACACATTTATTACCTCATAGTTTTTGTAGGTCAGAGTCCAGGCACAGGGCTTAGCTAGGATCACATACTGCATTTAGTTGTCCTTCCTCTTTAGGGTCCTTCAACATGGAACAGTTCTATGTATCTCCTTGACTTTTGAGAACGTGACACATTTAAAGATTCCTGGCTAGTTATCTCGAAGAATATATAGAACGACCACTAGTAGTTGGGTGCTACTGCCTTAATTCATGCTAAGCTACCAGCACTTTTATCCATCATGATTTTGCCCCATTAGTAAGCCTTGGGCCACATTAAAAGTGTCCTGTGGAACTTCAGGGTCTATGGTCTACTTTGAAAACGAGTGACCTAATTAATAAACCTAGACAACTATCAAAAAGACAAGCAGGCCTGTTTCTTTTTACTATTCTCACCTGAAGACATACTTTGAGGGGGCGGGGGAGAAAGAGAGAATGAATCTACCTGCTGCCTCCCATACATACATGCCTAGACCTGGGATCAAACCTGCAACCTTTTGGTTATAGGACAACACTCCAACCGAGCCACACCGGCCAGGGCCAGATCGATTTCTTACTGGAAGCGTACATCACCACCGAGGCATTCTTATCAAAATATAATCTTAAATCTGACCATATACACCTAATAACTAGCTTATGGTGTATATAGGGAACAAACATAAAATGACACCTAATAGAAATATTAAGCAAAACACTGAATGTGGGAAACTTTTTAGAACAAATAAGTTGGTTCTTCAAAAAATAAATGGGGGAAAAGACAGCAAACTTGTATATCAAGAGAGACTTTAAAGACAAATCAAGCTATTGCAATGTATGATTTTATCTGGGTCCTGACTCAAGCAAAGTGTAAAAAAAATTTTTTGAGAATGTTTACATTATCTGACAGTATTAAGGAACTTAATGGTTTTAGGTGTAAAGATATTGCAGTTCCTGTATTTTGAAAACATACTAAGACATTAACAATTAAAATGAAAGAAAAGTTCCACAACAGGACTAAGTATCATTCACATGCCCTTTAACAACGGGTATGCATCATCAGGTGAT